TCCCCAACCGCGCCAAGTTCGCTTGGCCTGGCCGAAAGCCGTCTCCGTAGCTCGCACGGCAAGCCGAGAGTTGCTGGGGTCTCCCCAGCGCGTCGAGTTCGCTCGACCCGACTCCGCCGTTCCCGAGATTTCATCGCCGAGTATCGGGGTTCTCCCCGATACTACCTCTCCGAGCACCAGGGTACACCCTGGTCGGCCGAGTACACTCGGCACCGCCACTTTCTTCTCCGCACACAGCTGGGGCCCTCCCCGGCTGGCCGAGTTCACTCGGCATTCAGACAGACAGATGAGGGACGCACCCCCCGTCAGCCGAGCCCTCTCGGCAGGGAACGGGCCCATCCGTCCTCCGATCTAAACGATCCGCCGACTTCGCGAAATATCCACCCTCGCGACAACACCCGCGACAAGCGTGCCCGTTTAAATCCACGCCGATTTAAAGGCCCGCGACGAACACCGCCGCCGCCGCGCGCGCCCCGCGCCATCGAACTGCGCGCCGCGATCAGTATCGCGCCGACCGCCCGAGCGATATCTTATTTTATATTCACGCGCTATCCGCGCGCCGATCGCCGTCTCGCCCGTCCACGGCCACGAACATTAACGCGAAGATTCGGTGCATTCCATCGCACCACTATTAGTCAAATAAAACATCGTTATTTGTTATAATTATCGCCTAACAATTTAATAACCCCTTTCTGCCTCTAACGTCCTCGCTTCCCCTCCTGGTAACCGACTGACCGCTCTCCGCGTGGGAAAGCGAGACCGTTTTAAACCAATATCGAGAGTTTACAATGGATTTATTACAAACCGATAACCTCGCTCGCGGACGACGCACTATACGTACGCATTATATGTACGATCTATAGAATTCGTCGTACCCAGAGACGGAGAAGATTATCTAGATCTCAGGCATACCATGCTAAGCGTACGAGTGGAAAGTTTACCCAGTCCTATCCTGGAACATCGGCAGGAGGAGGAAACAAAATAGGTAAATCACCTACTTCATTCGATGTTCAACTAGATCGGCGTATACTTCAATCAAAAACTCGTATCACCTCCAAATAACGCCTACGCGTACCGCGCGTACATCGAAGCATTGTTAAATTATTCTTCACCAGCAAAAATTTCCCATCTGACTTCTTGTCTATGAGATACGGACGAACCCAATTATATGGACGCGCTATTAGAATCGGACAATCCCAATCAAGCTCTCGTGAGACGCGCCTGATATCCATGGAGAACGTTCACTAGATTTAATAGGCAATCTTCATTGCAACGTCTTTAATCACGATAAATTTTTTAATTAACGGAGTGGAGGTTAGAATGAGACTCGTTCACTAGAGATGCGTTTTATCTCATAAAAGGCAACTCAACGTCGAAAATACATATTTTAGGTGTTAGTTTGCTCATAAAAAAAGCAAAAATAAGTCCTGCAGTGTTACTCGAACATGCGAGAATGTTGTAAAACAACCATCAAGTATCCTCTGACGCGAGTCGAAATTAAAACATTCACGATTCATGCCGGAGTGGTAAGAGCATCGACTGATAACGCGATACTCAGACTTCCGAAGCGCGTAATAGTCGAATTCGTCGATAACAAAGCGTTTAATGGTAACAGAAAGCTAAATCCATTTAATTTAAAAAATTACGGTATAAATTTCTTCTTGTTATATGCTTGTTATATGATGGCGTGCAAATTCCGAGCAGACCACTGCAACCAAATGCAGCCGCTCTACATCGTTTATAATAATCTCTTCTCGGGAATCGGTATCCATTTTTTAAATGAAAGGAATTCTAGCAGATATAAGCAGAGAAGATTATGCCAAAGGTTTCACACTTTTCGATCTCATTCCCGATCTATATTTTAACAAATTATAAAAAATTTTATAATTATTTATTAAATACTAAAAAGAATAATGTATTCCTTTTTACAGATGTCTACATTTTAGGTCATCTGAAAAATTGCAGTTGCATATGATGAACTGCGAACGGATGAACGACTCCAATTACGAGGACGGCAAGTACCTCGAATTCAAAAATTACTGCATAAGGAATGACTTTCATTCATCGTTTATGCGGGTTTAGAGAGCGTACTATGAAAGACGGAAGGAAGACGCGTCGTACACCTATTAGCAGCATGAGGTATTGGATTGTCGGAAAAGTCATGACGCATTTTTGTAACAGATGGCGCTAGTTTATTTTTGGAAGTACTAGAGTCATTCGCATCTATGTTATTGCTATGTTTTTATCTGCGATCATTTTTATTTGCGATAAATATCATCACATGCCCCGGTAATCGAAGGATAAATGTCTGCCCGGTAAGCAGGAGATCCAGGTTCGATTCTTGGCTGAGGTGGTATTTTTTTGCAAAATAATTACGAGTTTTCACGACTGGTTCGTGGTCGGGCCTCGCCGTGACGCACACCCTCCCTTCTTATTTGGGCTGACGTTCTAGCTTCATTCTAAAAAAAAATTGAGCGATTTGGTTGAGTTTTGGAGATTTTATAACAAGTTGAAAATGGAAAACCAAACTGGGCATTTTCGCCCATATATTATTGTTTTACTTCCGTAAAAGAACGCGCGTCAAGCTTTTGAAAAGTTGCTTAAAGTTTACGGTGACAATGCTCTACAAGAATGTCAGTGCTAACGATGGTTCACGAAATTCCGTGTTGATGATTTTGACCTCAACGACGCTCCTCGGTCAGGGAGGTCCACCGAGGTTGATGACGACAAAATAAAGGCATTGATCGAGTCAAATCCACACGACATGAGAGATTGCAGAAACATTGAACATTCAAGCATTCACGATCTCTGAAGAAGCTGAGATACGTAAGCAAGCTCGATATT